CAGCAGCAGCAGCAGCAGCAGCAGCAGCAGCAGCAGCAGCAGCAGCAACAGCAGCAATGCCCTTTCAAGCAAGAAGTTTGCTATAGTTTCCTCCCCACAGCAGCGTTCCTAGTATCTTCTCCATGGCTGTCCTCCTTAGGCCAAGGCTGCAACAAGCTAATTACTGCGCAGCCCTTCCCAGAGTACACACTGCTCCTAAGAGACCACAGCTTATTTTTAAATATATTTTTAAATTTATTTTTAAATTTTTGAGATTTTAGATTCATAAAAGTTACAAATAATTATATAGTCTCACTATACCCATCACATTTCATCTCCTTATGTTGACTTATGTAACTACAGAGCAAACATAAGAACTAAAAAATTAACCTTGATATACTAATAGAATTTAATTCTAAAGTCTGTTTAGATGTCACTGGGTTTTCCATCACTGTCCTTTTTTATTCTATTCCAGGAGCCAATTCAAAATCCCACACTATAGCACTCAGGGGACGGCTCAGTGGGTACAGTGTGTGCAAGCTGTGCAAGCATAAGGACCCAAGTTCAGATCTCCAGCACCAGGTGAAAAGCAGGTGTGGTGGCAATTCCTGGGATCCCAGTGCTGGAGAGACAGGGACAGGATTCCTGGGGCGCTGAATCAGTTAGTTCCCGGTTCAGTGAGAGACTATCGCCATCAACTTCTGGCCTCTACAGCACACATGAGCACATACACATGGACACACACACACACACACACACACACACACACACACACACACAAGCACACACTCAAATAGAAAGACTTCCCCATTATATCTAGTTTCATATCTACCCCATCTTCTCTAATGTATGACAGTTTCACATTCTTTCCTTGCTTTACATGATTTCACACCCTTGAAAGTGTTTATCAGTTAGCTGCTAAAAAGTCCATCGTTTAGTTTTGTCCGGTTTTTACATGATGAGACTGAAGGTATGTATCATTGGGAAGAACATTTCAGTGGTCATGTGTCCTCGGTTCATATTACTGGTGACATTAAACCGGATCATTTGCTTATGTGGTATCTCCCAGATTTCTTCACTATAACTCCCCCTCCTGTAACTGTATTTAATGTTATCTGCATAAACCCATAGATAACTTCATTTCTTCTTTAAGTTATAAGACAATGCTATGATAATTTTTGTTCAAGTAGTTCTTACTCTGTGCATTTGGAATCCTTTCCAGTTGGTTTCTGTGACTGCTTGACATTAACTTTTACCCTTTTTTGTTTAGTGTTTAACGATAAAAAAAAAACTAAGAATTTTATTTTATTTTTGACTGCTTATTAAAGATGATAAAAACTGCATACTGAGAAAATGGATGTTTTTACATAAACAATGAAATCTTTCTGAATATGTGATATTGCAGAATATAGAGCATCAGTGTCTTTTTCAAAGTTGATTGATTGATATTATGATTTTATCGTCAATACTAACAAAGTGACTTTCCATAAATATATAGTATAAAATAGCGGAATTATATTTAAGGGCATTTCAAAAATTGTTGTAAACTCTTCCATAATCTGAAACCAAACTCATTTAACAATTTTTAAAATTCAAGTCAGTAACTCAAACATCAATTTTAAAAACCAAATGTTTTTTTTCTTATTTATTTATTTAGTTTTATTTATTACAATTTATTTACTTTGTATCCTGCTATAGCCACCTCCTCCCAATTCTGCCATGCCTCCCTCTTCTTCTCCTATGCCCCTCCCCAAGTCCACTGATAGGGGAAGTCCTCTTCCCCTTCCATCTGAGCCTAAACTATGAGGTCTCATCAGGACTGGCTGCACTGTCTTCCTCTGTGGCCTGGTAAGCCTGCTCCTCCCTCCCCCAGGGGGAGGTGATCAAAGGGCCAGCCACTGAGTTCATGTCCCTATTCCCCTTACTATGTAACTCACTTGGAGACTGAGCTGCCATGGGGCTACGTCTGTGCATGGTCCTAGGTTGAAGTATCAGTCTCAGAAAAGACCCTTGTGCCCAGTTTTTTTTTTTTTTTTTTTTTTTGGTTCTGTTGTTCTCCTTGTGGAACTCCTGCCCAAATGTTTTAACACAATACAATCCAAAGACATACTCATTTAACACATGCTGAGAAATGATAGTGAGAAAATATTCTTTCAGTTCTATAATGAAATCATTATGTTGCTATAAAAGCAGAAAACTTTGTAAATAAACTGTTATGTATAACATAGCAGTGATGAATTTCAGTTGAGGTGCTTTTGACAACATTTGTTGGCATTTTTGTGTGGCATAAGGCATGCTCATTACAGGGTGCTAATGTGTGTTCAGAAAGAGGTTTACAGGGAAGTCTCACAATGACACAAGTGTAAGTGCTGCCACAAACACCCCAGATTTATTACACATTATATTTATATATATATATATATATATATATATATATATATTATATATAATATATGTATGTATGTTTTGGTCGCTATACATTCAGGGATCTTAAGTTAGTGCCAGATAGTTTGTGACCTTAACATTCAGTTATGCAACATATACTTTGAGAAGCTGGGGTCTAATATAGATGTGAACAAATGCATAGTCCTGAATATTTTCAGCTTTCTAAATGAACAAAAGGGATGGAAATTAGAAAGGGCAAGTGTGTTGAAATTTTGGTGTTTGAATACTACTTGTTTACTGTTTGATGGATTTCACAACCCTGCTCTGCTTTAAGAAGCGGTATTAGCTCGGATTTATGCCCTCATTGGTTCCCAGGATCAAAAACTACACTGTATTTGTCATCATTGTGATATTTGCTGGTAGAGGATATTGAGTGCCAAAAAGGAAATAGAATTTCCTGTTTGGGCTGTGGTTTGGCAATGGATTGTTGTGGCAAAGATACTAAATCTTTTTTGGCGATTACTTACCGTTACTAAAAGCTTTTCTCATTTTTGAAGCAAAGCTAAGTTATGTATTTGTCATAGTGTGAGTCAGAAGGGCTTCTTTATTCCAGAACGACTTCTTCATCTCTTCTACCTACTTGCTTTCTTTTCTTCTTAAACTCACCAGTAACTAATGTACTATAGAGTCTAATTTTCATTTTGTCTTTCCTCTAGAATATATTCCAGAAGGGTAAAGACTATTATTTATTTGATTTACTAATGTGCTTTTCATACTTTGATAATTAACGTTTTATAATTTTCTTTTGTTAATTTATTTTTAAAATTATTCCCTTTTTTTAGATAACAATATAATTATACCCTTTCCCCTCCAAATTCTTCCATATTTCCCTGCTTAATCTCTTTTAAATTCATGGCTTCTTTTTTCACTAATTGTAGCTCCTCTCTCTCTCTCAAATATATATATTCAATCTGTTCAGTCTGTACAGTGTGTAGTGAGTTTTGGTTTCTTTTAAAACCCACTTATGTTATGTGACTATGTTTTTGTTTTAATTCCAGGTGTGGGATAAGAAGCTGCCTCACAGCAGGTGATTGTGGTTTGCCTTGTGCATTAGCAGGGGTGTGATCTTTGCCAGCTGCCAACAGTTTAATTCTGGAGACTCTGGAGAGGGTATAAACAGGAAAGACCAAGAATACCTGGGGTGGCTATTGCTGCCCCCTCTGCTGCTGGTTCATCCTGCTGCTATGTTTGCTATTGCTGGATTGATGGTTTGCTGGTCTGCTGGTTTCCTGGACTGCTGGATGTTCTGACAACTAAGACTGGACTTGTCCCAAGGAACCAAATATCCCTAATCAGCAGGAAGTAGCCTATAGAAGCTTATTTCCCCTATCCCCCTCTAACCTGTCTCTCCTACCTACCATTGGGAGAAGGGATTAGGGTGGAATAAGGGGTGGAAGAGAGATAGAGGTAAAATATGTATGTCAACAACAGGGTACACGTATATTTTAGGGCTGACCATTTTGTATTAGTGGGCCCTTCCCGAGGGAAAACGTCTGCCTTTTTCATTCTTTAGTTTCCTGTAGTTCTTTGCATCAGGTAAAGGCCTTGTAGGCTACCCTTCTTCCACAAGCCCATCCATGTTAGAATGTCTACTATTGCCCTTGTTCAGCTCATATTTAGGCAGACGTGTTAGTTAGAATTTATGGGTATAGTTTCTGATATTCCTAGGAAACATCATCTTAGAGCAAACTCCCTGTTCCTCTGGTTCTTGCAGCTTTTCAGATGTACAATTATTTTTCTTGCAGTATATTTTGATCATTGTCTTTCCTGTCTCCTAACTCCTCTCAGATCCTCCCCACCTCCCCACTATCCACCAAAGTTTATGTTCTCTCTCTCTCTCTAACAAAGAAAAGCAAAGCAAAGAAAAAAGAACTTTAAAACAGTAATAAGATTAAAACAAAACCATGGGATCCATTCTGTGTTGTCCTGGGTATGGGGCTGCCCTGAAGCGTGATAAATAAACACACTGTCACTCCATTGGAGAAAACTGATTTTTCCCCTTTCTTAGCAGATATCGATTGCAAATAGCTTCTTGGTTAAGGATGGTGTACTGGCTAGTTTTGTATGACTACTTGACAGAAGCTAGAGTCATCAGAGAGGAAGGAGCCTCAGTTGAGGAAATGCCTCCAAGAGATCCAGATGTAAGGCATTTTCTCAATTAATGACCAGTTGGGGAGCCCCTTGTGGGTGGTGCCATCCCAGGACTGACGGTCCTGGGTTCTATAAGAAAGCAGGCTGAGCAAGCCATAAGGAACAAGCCGGTGAGCAGCGCTCCTCCAAGGCCTCTTCATGAGCTCCGGCTTCCTGCCCTGTTTTGAGTTCCTGTCCTGACTTCCCTCAGTGATGAATAATGGATGTGGAAGTGTACACCGAATAAAACCTTTCCTCCGATTAGTAGACTTGGGGAAGGGCATGCGTGAAGAAGGGAGAGGGAAGGTGGGATTAGGAGGGAAGAAGGGAGGGCTTTATAGGGGGGATACAAAGTGAATAAAGTATAATTAATAAAAGTTAAAAAAAATAAATATTTAACACACAATAAAATAAAATAAAATGAAAACAAAACAAAACAAAAAAACTTTCCTCCCCAACTTCCTGGAATTTTGTGTCCACTTCTTCTCATGCTAGGATTTTCTCTAGTTGGAATGTGTGCAGGACTTTTGTATGCTGTCACCGTCCCTGTGAGTTCATGTGTGTATGAGTCCTATCATGTCTGGATGGCACCGTTTCCTTTGAGTTATTCAGCATCTCTGGCTCTTAAACTCTTTCCGTGTCCTCTTCCACATAGATCCCTGAACCTTGAGATGAGGACTCTGATGAAGACATCCAATTTAAGGGCTGAGTGCTACAAAAGCTCTTTCTTACTCTCTACACAATGCCCAGTTATGGGTCTCTGTGTTAATTACCATGTACTTCAAGAGGAAACTTGACATGAAGCATCTTCTTTTGGGTTGGTCTGAGACAGGGTCTCTCTAGATAGCCCTTGCTGTCCAGCAACTCAGTATATAGAGGAGGCTGCTGCTGAATTCATAGACATATGTCTGCCTCTCCTTCTCAGGTGTGTGACACCAAGACCAGCCACCTCCACCCCTTTTGAACTTGTTACTTTCTTAAGCATTCCACCTTAAGGTGCTTCTGTAACCTTTTCATCTTCCCTATTTTATCCTCAAATCAAGCATTTAACAAAGATTTCCAATCCACTTTTTCAAGAATGTTTTTTAAAAACCAAGGTTTGGAAAACCTCAAATTCATCCCTATATATAGCTCTGCAAACACATTTTCAAAATAATATTTTCTACTTCCATCCAGCTAAGTTCATTTTAGCTTTCCCCATGCTGTATTTGTAACATCTTTCTTCAACAGTGATAAAATTTAATGTACATACTATACAATTATTTGTTCAACCCCTTTGAGAAACAATTTTATGTATTAGAGCAGGAGTTTGCCAATTTCAAATTAAAGAGACAGAGAATGAACACTTCAGGTTTTTCAGGGAATGTAACCTCTATCAAAGCCACTCAGTGCTGTTTTTTTTTTTTTTTTTTTTTTTTTTTTTTTTTTTTTTTTTTTTTTTTAAAGAGCAGAAGACGATATAGAAACATGAACGAATTAATAAAACCATACTTGTAGTTTTCTGGCTCATGAACTGGAGTTCAGTGTTTGTACACGGTTAATTTTGTCTTAGTTTCACCACATCCAGTTTAAATACAGTTGTCCAAGATTTAGGTCATTTTTTTTCTGTACTCTCTTCAGTGCGGTTATTCAGTTTATTTGTTATACATTTAAGAGTCACTTTCTAACCTGCATTTCACTTTTCGTACCACATCACGGTTGATACTTTAAGTTTGCTTTTTGTGGTATATAGTTTTTGTGAAATTGGACAAAACTAGTTATTGTCTATGAGGAAAACTGTCCCATCTTGCTCAAAATTCTCTAGAGCTATGTCTTTATTGATAATTTCTCCCCCCAACTTCTTTTAATGTTCAATGGTTTTCCTCCTTTGGTTTTCCCCTTTTCAGAGAGTCACATAAATGGAATTGTACAGTATGTATGGCCTCTGCGATCTGTATTTTCCTCTTAGCAAAATGCACTTAATCATTCATATTCAGAGATCATTAGTTTGTTCTTTTTCACTGCTAAGTAGTATTCAGTGAGGAATTAGTAAAATTAGTTTGTCTCTCAGTTGAAGGCTATTTCCAGATTTTTGCAATTACAGTTGAAGCTGCTATAGACATTTGTGAAATTCTGTGTGAATGTAAACTATCATTTTTAGGGTAGATACTGAGGAGTAAGGATACTTGTTGGACCACATGTTACATATATGTTAAAATTAATAAGAATATAGCAACTGTTCTCCAAAGTGGATGCACCATTCTCAACGGTCATGATTGCAGATGCTTTTGAGAGTTTTGTAGATTTACAAGAGAATAACTTAGGAATAGGATAGGCTCCTGTCATATGGTACACTCAAAGGCCCTAAAAGCCCTTATCTCCCTATAAAGTCCCAGCAGTAATGAGAAGAAAGGCATATGTGGACATACCTGAAGTTTGGTAATGATCTCCTGTTTGGTGAGCTCCACCAAATGGTTGTCCTCTACAGCAAAGGCTGGGAAAGAGATCACTGAGAGCAAACTGGCATCAACTTCCTTGGATGTTGAAGCCCGGGGCAGTAGGGAATTTAAGATCGACTAAGAGAAAAGTAGCAAAATAGAGTTTATTACTAAATACCTTGGTTAAAAAAGTGAAACTAAGAGCTTTGGTTTTAAAAGATTTATGTGAAACAGAAGTTTTCAGAAGAATAACCCAAACTTTACTAAACAGTGAGACCCTAAAAACAGTGGCTTGCTTGGTATGATATCCGCCCCCCCTTTTTTTTCTTAATCCTGTCCTGACTGAGTCCCCATCCTGATTGAAAAGCAGCTGCTCAAAGACAAAGACTCTAACATCTGTGGGATACATACAGTCCTGTTGGTTCTGAGCATCTAGATAAGAAAAAAGCTGATGCTGGAAAGATGATCACTAGCTATTCTTCTGGAGGACTGGGGAGCTCTCCAACATCCAGAACTCCAACACCCTTTCCTGGCACCATGGGCACCAAGCATGAATATGGTGCAGACATACATTCAGAAAAAAAAGTCCATACACATAAAATAAAAAATTAAAATGATAAAACTAACTCAAAATTTAAAATAATAAAACAAAATAAAGCAGTCTCACAGAGTAGATAGAGAAAGATCAACCATGCCCCTAAAACATTTTCAAATTGATTTTGAGCAAGTGTGGCTTCTTTTTATTTTCAGAGACATATGTCACTGCACTTCGCTCATGTTTATACCCAATACATTTCCTTGGCCCCACAGACGTCCAACTAGTCTTCTTCCTATCCACATTTTTTCCATGACATACTTTACCCACAGAAAATATTTTCAAAATTAGAAGTTTAATTTATATTCACTCGGATATCATGGGCTGTAAGCAGAGTAAGAAGAAAAGGGGAAATTTCACATATTGGGGAAAAGAAACTTTCAATATAGGCACCAATCATAAGGAAAACTAAGGATGAACTTTCACCACCATAATATTTCCAAATAAATAGCTAACCCCAGAGACATCCAGGGACAAAAGAATGGTTCTGGACCACTATCCCGAACACTTAAAACAAATATCTTGTTTTCTTTTTTTTTTAATTTTTTATTAATTACACTTTATTCATTTTGTATCCCCCCATAAGCCCCTCCTTCCTCCCCTCCCGATCCCACCCTCCCTCCCCTTTCTGCATGCATGCCACTCCCCAAGTCCACTGATAGGAGAGGTTCTCCTCTCCTTTCTGATCTTAGTCTATCAGTTCTCATCAAAAGTGGCTGCATTGTCCTCTACTGTGGCCTGGTAAGGCTGCTCCCCCCTTAGGGGGAGGTGATCAACAAGCAGGCCAATCAGATTATGTCAGAGGCAGGTTTTTTTTTTTTTTTTTTTTTTTTTTTTTAACAAAAAGCTATTCTTGGAAAAAGAAAAAGAAACCGCAGGCCTTTGATATAATAGTGGTGAATAACTAGATATATTATGGTGGGTTCCTTTCATAATTTTTACTGAGACAACAGGACAACTGTGGTAGATTGATGTTTCAGACACCCAAGCCCATCCCACTGTCTTTCTCTTCTTGCTGCTTGCAGATCCAGAGGTAGAACTCTCAGCTACCTCTCCCCCACCATGTCTGCCTGCATGCCATCATGCTTCCCATGATGATAATAATAGAGTAAACCTCTGAACCTGTAAGCCAGCTCCAATTAAATGCTTCCCTTTATTCGAGTTACTGTGGCCTTGGTATCTCTTCAAAGCCAAAGCACATTGACTAGGACAAGCATAATCTATCTTATAGCTCATGGTATATCAGGTTTATCTCAGTTTAGAAGGCTTGACAAAGACATTTCTGATCACATGGTAATAGTCACGTGATCTGTTGCTCTCTTTAGGCTAATGCCGGTGCTTACATCTGACTCTGGGAAGAGGGAAATTTGCTATGCTATGGCCCATGATGTCTTTACCTGGCAGTGTTGCACTTCATCAGCCAGGACATGGATAACTGATTGCGGCCCACCTTTCACACCAAACAAATCTAATTCATCTAGTACTTCCAGGGCTGCCTGTAAGAAGCAATGGAAGAAAGAACAACTTTAGTAGCAGAACACATGCTGAGCATGTACAGGGTGCAGCATTCCGTCCCCAGAACAGAAAAAAAGAAAAGAAAACCAAGAACGATATTTGTCTTCCTAGTATCATATTAATATTACATGATGTTGCTTTTGTATGTGTATAATGGAATGGAGAATGAAATAAAATTTTTTATTCCCAGGAGTTTGTGACTTTTACTTTGTCTCCAATACTGCCCAGAAAAAAAAAATACAATTGAGTTTTTATTAATATCCACTCCAGGAGCATACTTTAAATGAAAATTTGCAAAAAACAAGTGCCAGACATAATGGTACACACCTAAAATTCTAGCACTCAAGGAGGCAGAGGCAGGTGGATCTCTGTGGGTTCAAGGCCAGCCCGATCTACAAAGTGAGTCCAACACAGCCAAGGCTACACAGAGAAACCCTGTCTCAAAAACAAAAACAAAAAAACCAAAGAGTAATTTGGACATGGCTTATGAATTTACAGGAAATCATTCTTTCAGCAGGGAAGCTCCAACTAAGAAACTACCACACAAGAAATGCTAATGACTGACATAGTCAGACCCCCATCTAAATAAAATAAAATGAAATAAGAACAGAACAGAAAATTTGTGTGGCTGCAGGATGACTCAGTAACTATTAGACTCACACTGAGTTTCTGCAGATAGGCAAATGTCTTACAAATACACTCTATTTGACTTTGAAACAAATGCTAACCGTTGGCATGCAAAGGAGGAGTTCTCATATTTTAAAAACTATACAATGTGTTTTCATAGACTGAATTTATCCTACAGAGTAACAGATCCCCAAAGACATTTCTCATATCCACCTGAATCTTTGAACCCCTTTGTCATCTCTCCCACCCACTTCCCTTTACCTGGTCACCGTCACTGGACTTACTGCTTCTGAGAGGTTGATTTTTAAAGGGTTTATATGTAAGTGAAATCATGCTTTTAAAAAATAAAATTTGTAGACAGGCACGGTGGCACATGCCTGTAATGCTAGCACTAAGGCAGGAAGAGGCGGGCAGATCAATGTGAGTTTAAGACCTAGCTGGTCTACAGAGTGAGTCCAGGACAGCCAAGGCTACACAGAGAAACTAACTAACTAACTAACTAACTAACTAACTAACTAACTAACTAACTAAC